AGTGTGTGTGTGTGTGTGTGTGTGTGTGTGTGTTTAGAAAATATTTATTGAGTTTCCTGTTCTGTGCCAGCCACTGTTCTAGGCAGTTGGGATAAATATATTCAGTGAACCAGGGAGACATATTGTTGGCCTCAGCCTCGTAGAGCTTACAGTCTGGTAGGGAAACACATATAACATGTACTTATCACATATGATAAGGGTTTTGAGAGAAGAAATAGAGGGTATCATGGGACCAGTACAGCAGGGCGAGCTAAGAGAAAAATTCTCCCAAAGGAAGTGACATTTAATCTGAAATCTGATGGCTGAGTTAGGAGTTAACCAAAACAATAGGGAAGGGCCCTTCAGATTTGTATTTGAAAGTGCAGTGGCAAGTGAGAGTCTCAAGCCAATAGAAGGTCTTTCTACTGTTGGAGCACCATGCTGTATAACCTCAGGATAATCTCTTGCCTTCACTGGGCCTGGCATTCCTCACCTCTGAAATGAGGCGACCACATGCTCTTTTTGGCAGTAAAAATCAATGAGTCCAAGATTAACATTAACTCTAGTGGAGGTCCATCTCTCATAACTGCCCCAATCTAAAACTTATCTCAAGCTGGTGGGAAGCAGTTCCAAAAAAGGTTAAAAAAGGCAGTGCATTATCCTGTGAACCTCTCCGTTTTCTAGGCACATACCTACAGGGGTCAGGCTTCCCTTCTGCCAGCTCTCCATGGGACATACCATATCAGCAATCCAAAGGGGACCAGGAAGTGGAGCCTCAGAACATCAAACACCAAAGAAAAAACAGCTGCATGGTCTCCAGAGCCAAAAAAAAATATTGAATACACTTGGGGTTGACTGCTTTGCACCACCCCCTCCTAAATGACTTTAGTTTCTGATTTCAAAACATTGTTTTGAGTGTAAGTGTGGTTCCTTCTCTGGGGCTATACACTAGGAGGTTGATGGGATGATGGATGATTTTCTTCCTTTTTTTCCTGTTCTATATTTTCTTATTTTTTATAATATGAGTATAGTTGGAAAGAGAACAAAATCTAATTTTACTTATAAATCTCATTCAATATGCTTCTCAATTAATAGTCTAGGAAAAGCATGGACCTTCTAGCTGTAGGGCATAGTGAATAAGTGAGTTTGAAATGGCGTGACAGCTGAAACCTGCCTTTGATGGGATGACAAGCTAATTGCGTTTTATAGCAGCAGTTTGGACAAGAAAGTGGGTAGTGGTGGCCAGAATTTATTCATTCACACATTCCTTTCAACAGGTATCCGTCAGTTACTAGTTGAACAAATTAATCAGTCCATGTCAGGAATCTCCTCATGTGTCAAGTGGAAATAATTATTATACCTACCTCATAGTGATCCTTATGGGGAGTAAATGAGGTAATTTATATAAAGCAGTTGGAATAGTACTTGGCATATGGTAACATTCAATAAAAGTTTTTGTTTTTTGTTTATGGGTTTCCTTATTTTAATAAGTGTCTCGTAAGACGCAACACAGAGCCTTTCCTTAAGAAGCTCAGATTCTAGCAGAGGAATAAGACCTGCCCCAAAATAAATATGCCTCAAAGGAGAAAAGGACGTTTCTTAAGAGAGAAATGGATAGTACTAAGGAAATTCAGGGGAAGGAGAGACTTTTCTGGACTGGGGTAAGGGGTGGAATTAAGCATAGGTAATCAGCCAGAGTTTCCTTCATCCTCAAATGGAGCTGACGCTGCTGTCTGGGAAAAACAGCCAAGTTGCCTGCAGGGAAACCCTTTGAGAGGCAGTAGAGCACAGGGGCTAGGGACACAGGCCTGGCCCCAGACGGTTCCAAGTTAGAGCACAGGCTCTGCCCCTTACTCCCGTGGACCTTTGAGCACGTTGGCCAGCCTCGCCACGCATCTGTTGCCACAGCTGTAACGTCTGAATGTTAACAATAGTGTCCTGCACCTGACTGTCGTGAGGATTACAGGAAATAGTGTTTAGAGAGTGCTCGGCACAGAGTGTGACCCCAGTCCACCATGTGTAGCCACTATTGTCAGTTATAAGTGTGCCAATGTTGGGAGGTTCTTTCTTCATGGATTCTGTCACAGATGTAGGATTATTCAGTTCAGGAGGCAAGTGTTACCAAGTACATGTTGTTGAAGAAAACGATGTTGTTTTTATGAATGGGCTCCTTACTATTATTTTTTTTTCAAGTAATAAAACATGATTCAAAGCACCAAGGGCGATGTCAGTAAACTGACCCATCTCTGAGAGTCCAGCTTCATTTCCTGACGCCTACTCAGGCTTCTGAAATAAAGGCACAGCCAAACAATGGCCCCAACCTTCCGTCCCTCTAAGCTGAGTGTTACTGCTGAGAACGTGCTGACAGCTCTTGGTGGGCTTTGGTTCATTACTCATCCTGACATTCTGGAGAAATACAGAGCCCTTCTGACTTCCTGACATTCTTGCCTTTATTTCATTTTCACGTCATTGTCAGGGGAGAGGATGGTGAAACCGAGTGAGAATTAGAAAATAATGTCTTTACTACTCAGACATTGCAGCTTATTTTTGCAAGTATTTTTGAACTTATAGTATGTGTCAGGCACTTAACCCACACAAGAACCTTCTAGGGTAAATGCTGTTATTATTCTCATTTTACATTGGGTAACCAAGGCACAAAGAAGTGAAACAGTTTGTCTAAGGTTATTCACAGCTAGAAGGACCAGGGACCAGAAAGAAACCCAGATCTCTGAACCATGACATACTGTTTTCCGAAGGTTATTATTCCACCACAGTCCTATGTCGACTTGTTGAAAAGCCTTCAGATTAGCAAACTCCCTGCTAGTATAGCCTGTTTGCTTGGATCTTTCTTAGTAAGCATCAGAGTTTTCTGAGAACTAATTAAAGTTCTTTTTAAGTCACAAACTACCACAGCCTCACCCCCACCTATAGAAAGCTGCTTCCCCAGTAGAGCTCCAGTCCTAATTTGCCATCCCCTTCAAAGTAGCATTAAAACAGATCAAATCTGCCCCTTTTGGGGAAAGGCAGTTGGAGCCCAGAGTTGCTTCAGGCCACACAGTATTTTGGTAGTAAAGCAAGTAAAGCACCCCTCTGACCTAGTGTTCTGAAGTGTTTCCTTTGCCAGGCTGGGTGGAGTAACGATTTTGAGAAATAGCATTGGCATGTGTGTGGCATGTATGCTGACCTAGTTAGGACTTAAGAGACTGTTTCTAATTCTGGCCCTTTCATTTTGAGCTGTGTGACCTTGGGCATGTCACTTAACCTCTCTATTTCATTTTCTTATTCAGGAAAGAGAGAGTAATGTAGCCTCTGGGTACCTAATTCTCCTAAGGGTGTTAGGAGAATCAAATGAGATTATATGGGCCGGGCGCAGTGGCTCACACCTATAATCCTAGCACTCTGGGAGGCCAAGGCGGGCGGATTGTTTGAGCTCAGGAGTTCAAGACCAGCCTGAGCAAGAGCGAGACCCCGTTTTCTACCAAAAATAGAAAGAAATTAATTGGACAGCTAAAAAAATACATATATAGAAAAAAAATTAGCCGGGCATGGTGGCGCATGCCTGTAGTCCTAGCTACTTGGGAAGCTGAGGCAGTAGGATTGCTTGAGCCCAGGAGTTTGAGGTTGCTGTGAGCTGGGCTGATGCCACAGCACTCTAGCCTGGGCAACAGAGTGAGACTCTGTCTGGGGGGGAAAAAAAAAAAAAAAGATTATATGCAACAATGAGAGCTAACATCTATTCAATACTTAGTATATACCAGAAATAATTTAAATTCTCCTGCATGTGTTATTTAATTCTCAAAATTTTAAAATGGAGGCACTAGTATCCCATTTTACAGATTAAAAAAACTGAGGTTCAGAGAAATTAAGTCACCTAGGACTCAGATCCAGATGTGTGGCTTCCAATAATGTTCCTAATCACTCTGCATGTCACATGGCTTCCCATTATACACAAAAGTAGAGAGAGTTTATTGCGTTACCATCAAGCACTCTACAAACGTTAGGAGATTATCTCTCATAACCAGGGCTGATTGTCTCTCATAACCAGGGCTGTTCTGTGTTAGTCCCTAAGGACACTTAAATTCCCTTATTTATCTTATCTAGTAGTTTACGCTGCCTCTTTTCATGTCTCTCAGGACTTGTTCAGTGAATTGTTTTGTTTTTTCCCCAAAGAAACAGTTCAGCTCCTGCACAAAGGGGGCTAAAGGAGTCCAGCTGAGCCTGGCGTCCTGGGCAGTGGCCTCTGACTGCTCCAGGGCTGTTCCCTCCCTCAAGTGTGTAGTTGGTTTTAAGGTAGTAAAATGCCTTATAAAGCATTTGTTGATAAGCTCCTCAGTCACTGATTTTTGGTCACTGAGTTTCAGGAGTGGAAAACACCGAAGCCATCGTTTTATTGATGGGGAAACTGAGGTCCAGAGAGGGAGATGACTTGGTTGAGGCCATTCGTCTAGTTGGAGGCCTGACCAAGTCCAGAACCCAGTTCCCCAGGCAACAGACCAGTGCTGTTTCCAAGCCTTTCCTGTGGGCATGCGTCATCTCTCCTACACGAAGGACAAACTGACGTACTGTGCCCAGAATGTACCTAGGAAACTTAATGGAGAAATTACACAACTTGGAAAATTGGGCAGGAAGAAAGAGATGGAGGTGGGATTGGGTGAAGATCTCTGCCCTGACTAGTATATTATACACTAAAGAAATGAATTAAAGCACAACAAAGCAAAGCAATCGGCCTGCAGTGGGCAATAACTAAGAAGCAAGGGAATTTACACTGGGAGCCCTGGCTGAGTGAGTGATAGGAAGCCTTTTGTCACCAAGGCTGCAGGGTTGAAAATTGAAGGAAGGATGTTAGGCAAATGTGACGGGCCTGGGATGCAGTTACAGCCCCTTGGCTTATTGTCCAAAGGAAACAGATCTCTCCCGTGGACAGAGAGGTGGAAACTGAGCAAGCGAGTTGAGTGGTTGACATCATCAGGCTGAGCATTGGATTACAACAAATGGGGACTTACTTGGCCCGAGACGTGGGAAACACCCACTAAAACCTCAAAGTGCTTTTCATTTAGAAGACACGAGGGAGAGGGAGAGAGGGTAAGAGAAAATCCTGCCTGCACCCAGGTCTGCACTGCTAATCTTGAATCCCAGTTTCTTAAATTCTACCTCCACTTCTGACTGAGGACCACTGGACTTTGAGGAAACTTTGCGGTTGTAAGTAGAACTCTACTCTCCTTCCCTGCCCCCTACCTCCAGGGAGAAGCAGAGTGTGGAGGCTGAGCTCTCTGGAGAGCTTGCTTTCCAGGCTGTTGGTCACAAAGTGTCTATTTTTATATTATGCTATATGTGAGCTTGCTCTGAAAATTATGGCTTTGTCTGAAACCGCCTAGGGCTGGACTCGGAGCCTCAAATCTCACAGATGGGCTCCATTCAGATGCTGTTTTACTTTTTTACCCAGAGAACTTTGGCAGAGTATCCAGAGCTTTAAAGGCAGCAACTTGCCCCAAATATAGGTGAAGAAATAAATTTTCCTCTAGAAATTGGTATTTGTAAATCCTTTGTTTGTTTCTGATTACAAAGGTGGTACCAAAAATTTTAAACATTCTAGAAAGAAATGTCTCTGAAAGTGAAAATTCTCTGTAATCTTCCCCTCACAGATAGAAGATTGGTGAGTTAAATACACATACAGATATGGTTGGATTTCATGAAGTTACCACATATAAACCCAATGCTGCAGTAGCTGTGTGGCAAACTCCAAGATGGAAAGAAGGGTTGGAAATCTTTAACTTTGGCTTTGTGATCCTTTTATTGCTTCCTTTTCAAAATGTGCTATTTATGCCTAGATATATTCTAGCTATAAACAGAACATGTAAGCCCTTAGGTGTTTTATTTGTTGGTATCTGTTTTCAGGGTGTTAAACTAAGCACCCTGTAGAGGGCAAGGGAGGGGGCCCTTGTCGCCACCACATCCCTTACTGCTGAGTCTCCGAGCTGAGGGCTCTCAGATGGCTTACAGTGTGCAGGGACCCACCTCCCCTGGTAGCAGGTTAAATACATTTGAAAAGTCAAAATTAAAGGAAAAATTTCAGCTTTAAAAACCAAAAAGCCAGTAGAATGATCACCCAAGGAAACTATGCCACCTTGGGCAAGCGTTTCTCACTCTCTGGGCCTCAGTTTCCTCATTTATACCTAAATGAAGGCACAAAAGTAGATGATCTCTGTATTTCCAAATTCAGCTTGGAATGAACTGTCCATATTTCTTTTTTCTTTGTGGCAGACCCTTATGGCTTTCAGAGCTACGTGCCCTAGGTTTTTAGTATTCTAGAGTGGCTAAAAGCTGGTGCCTGTAGGACAGTTAAAAGAGGACATAAAACAGGCAACATTAAGTTACTTCTAAGTTTTTATGGTTTTTTTTTTTTTTAAGATTTGTTATTCTTGAAGAAAGAGAAAGTCTGAGTGGGGTGTGTGAGTGTGTGTACATGTGTCCTCACGAACATGTACTTGGGGAGAGAGAGAAAAAAACAATTGACAAATTGAACACCTCTTAAGTGCTAGGCCCTATGTTATGCTCAGCCCTTTATGTAACACTAGATGGTCGATAATATCATTCCCTACCCTGTTGACTGAGGGCGAACATCCACTGTATGTTCCCATATTATCCTTAACTCCTTCCTAGTGTTTACTTGAACTGTATTCACGTAATTATTGAAATAACTTCAACTCCCTGTGCCTTCACTAGACCATCTGTGCCCTCTCTGTGTGTCTACTATGCCCCGTTGCCAGTAGAAAGCCTGACACATATGTACAAAGGAGACACAGCTTACTCAGTTTTAACTTAAATACCTAGTTCCTAGTTTGGCAAGAGAGAGAGAGAAAAGGAGGGGGAAAAAGTCCCTTTATTTGCCTCCCTTCCTTCTTCTTTTAGCCTAGACACATCATCCACTGCTGCAGGGAGAGGATGGCCACAAAGTGCAAAGAAGAGCAAAAGTAGTCAGATCTTGAATTTCGAATTTCCAAAGTTCTACTTCTTGACAAATTAAGGGCTTTTATCTGTAAGGGTATCAGAGACTGTAATCCTCAGGAAGATGCTTTATTCAGAAACTATTTGTTTGAATTAAGATCCTGATGAACAGGAGGGTCCTCAAAGACCCTCAGCATATCTTAAAGCTGCAGTCTTCCCCATCAGCAAAGCCCACTGAAGGTGGGCGTGGGCAGTGGGAATGCCAGAGTCATCTCCTCTGCCTTACCCCAGGGTCTTGAGACTTTGGATAATCAAAAAAGGCATTCCTTTTCCTAAGATGGTGGTGAGGAGGTAATGTTCTGGAAGGAAGGTACCTGGACTTTCTGGTCCCTGTCAGGAGGTAGGGAATAGAAATGTGGTAGAATGCGTCACACCCCTCAATCCAGGCCTGCATGTACCGATGAGGGTGGCTTTATTGTCTGTTTTTTGTTTGTTTGTTTTTTAAATAGAGACAGGGTCTTGCTCCGTCAAGTGCAGTACCCTGATCATAGCTCACTGCAGCCTTGTACTCTGGAGTTTAAGCAATCCTCCCACCTCAGCCTCCCAAGTAGCTAGGACTACAGGTGTGCACCACCACGCCCAGCCAATTTTTAAATTTTCTGTAGAGACAGAGTCTCACTGTGTTGCCTAGGCTGGTCTCGAACTCCTGTCCTCAAGTGCTCCTCTCACCTCTGCCTCCCAAAGTGTTGGAATTCCAGGTGTAGGCCACTGCGCCCAACCTCTAGTTTCTTATTTTGTGTGTCAATGTCAGCACTGTTGTCAGTGAGCTTTTCCTGATCTACCCCACCTCAGCTGCCCCAGCAGTAAGTTTAGGGCATCTTGGGAGTGGAGGTAGGTTGTGGAAGAGACTACGGTGTCCAGAGCGCATACTCAGCTTTTGCATCTTCCTGCAATACATGTCACGCACAGGACTGGGCACGGTGCATGTGCTGATTCTTTTTTAATCTTCATAGCAATGATATGAGGCAGAGATTATCTCCATTTTATGCATGAGAGAGGCACAGAGAGGTTAAGTGAATTGCCCAAGGTCTCATAGCTAGCAGGTGATAGAGCTGGAGTTCCTGATGAGAATTGGCTCTCCTTGCAGCCCTTGAACTTTATACCACACTGTACTGCCTTTTCCATATCACCTCCCTGGATCTCAGTTTTCCCATCTGTTAAATGAGGAGGATTGAACTAGAGTCAGAAGTCAGAGTAATGGCTTTATTTCTAATTTGAATGCCTTTAGGGGAGTGTGTTCTCCAGTTCATTATCATCTGTGCCATTCCTCTGCCCAGCCTATTGTGCTCCCTGGTCTCCTGCCTGGCTGCTGGCCTCTGTGGACATTTTTAACCCTGGGAATGGTTGGTGTCCACAGTCTCTGTCAATTTAGAAAATCTAGGGTTCAGTGAGAAGTCACAATGATAGTAGGTAAGAGCTCTGCCCTCACCACCTCCCAACTGAGAGATCCTAGTGAGGTTACCTCACCTCACATAAAATGGGGGTCACAGTTTTACCTACCTCGGAGGGGTACCATGGGGGTGAAATGGGATAAGGCTCATAAAGCACTTCGTTGGTACAAAAATACATGCTCAGGATTAGCTGCTTTAAAATTCCAGGGAGAGAATTACAACCAGTGCATAGGCATCTGCCCCCTCAGTCAGAGGGTGGCATTTGTGTGAGGAACCTCAGGTCATCTCTGTACTCATCAATTTTGAAACTCCTGTGATGAACCGTAGAGCTGCCATGTTGGCTCTTCAAACCAAGCCTCAGCATTATTTCCTGTCATCCAGTCAGGTGATGCTGAACTTCAACTCAGCCAGCCAGTGCTGAGGCCAAAAGCAGAAGAGGGGGCAATTCTCCTGGGACCAGAGGACTCTGGCCCAGCCACTTAAGGAAGAAGCTGGGTAGCAGGTGCTGTGTGTGACAGACAAGAAGCTGATCTCGCCCCGTTAACTCTGCTGAGCGTTTTCATGAGAAGCTATTTCTAAGTGAAGACAGAGGTGGAAAATCTAAAGTTCTTGGAAACAGATTATTAATCATCAACCGCGGCTGAGCCCATTACCTTCTGGAAATCCTTTAGAAATGCCATATGCAACTTTGAGAACTGCTCCTTCAAAGAGTAGTTTCTTTGGAAGTTGCATTCAGCTGTGATGACTGATTCTGAATTGCAGATAAAGGAAGCCAGCATTTCCTAACTTTAAAAGAAGCCTCTTTAAGCTTTGACAAATTACTGGCTTCAGTTTGGCTCTTCAGAACTGAATAATAGACCTTCAGGGAAATAAAGTAATGTTTTATTATGTCCCAGGGACCTAGATCAATTCCTGTGTTTAGTGCTTTATAGGTGTGGTCTCTAACATTCAATAAATGTGTATGGAGGACCCCCTAGTACTAAGTACTGGGCTAGAGGAACAGGGTGATTAGAGACACAACGTCTGGCCTTGTGGAGTTCTCTGTGCATCAGAGAAGATAGGCAGGTGAATGAATAATTATAATGGCTTCTGAAAAGCACTATGAAAGAAGTATGCAAAAGTGCTACAGAATACCAGGCAGTGGATCAGCATCTAGTGGAGGTCCTGATCTTGAGCTGGGTTGATTACTCCCACACTCTCCCTCCAGTTCTTGACTCAGGGAGCTTTGCCAGCATTTGCATTAGAGAGCCACTGAGAGCGGCCCCCTGCCGAAGCACTCACTCCTGGCACCTTCCTATTCCCCAGGGCTTCAGAGGAATAAAGACAACACTTCCTCACTAAGTGTAGGGCCTCACCTGAGAAGACTCTGAACCTGGAGTCCCAAGATGTAGTAAGGAAACATAGCAGTAGGTGATTTTATAGTCTAAAATTACCACTGAATTTTCCATTGGTTTGTTTTCGTAATATTTATTGTGGGTTTTTTATTTTTTCTTGATTGCAATATTAGAACATGTTCAAGGAAAGGAAATCCAGATAGTGCAGAAAAACATACTTAAATAAATCACTAAGTGATTTGACTTCTCTGGTTTTCAAATAAGGGCTTGTCTCCCTAGCCCCTCACCCACATATACCACTGCATTTCAAGTTTAGCTCTAATTTTAATTTCTCCCTGGGAAGTCTCATGTTTGTTTGCATCTCAAAGATACTTTGGTTCCATGCTACAGTCACTGAGTAGGAGAAAATACTATCAGCAATTGGTTAGAGGCTGCAGCCTTCATTGGTGTTTTCATGTATGTGTGCATG